CCGCCCGGCCCGTCAGTGTGCCCTGCTCGTGTCAGTGCTGCCCTCCCTGTACCACTCACCCCGGCTGGCCTCACGGCTCCCGGCCACTGTATGTCCTACTTAGCGCGGGGGGTGGGGGACAGACCCGGAGGAGCCTCTTCCCCAAAAACTCAGCTGGTGAGATCAGGGGTTAAGACTGGGAACCCAGACTTCAGGACGCCAAATGAGGCACTTTGCAGCCTGGCCTAAACAGCTACCTAAGGGAGGCAGCAGTGTCGCTCACACTTCGGCTCCAGGGCCTTCTGGCTCCGGGGCGTCCTCCCTCCTCCTTTACAGACCAACCCACAGCGGGTTTTGTAGGGCCAGGGCCGGGGGTGCTTGGAGGCCTTCAGCTCTAGTGGTGGAGAGACCTGGGTCAGTGCCTGGACAGTGGGAGGGCTGCAGGCAGGACACGGCCAGGCTTACACCCTGGGACGCCACCGGCATCCCAGACAGTGGTGACCTGCACCCAGGCCGCGCAGTGAGTGGGGAGACGGTTCAAACCCAAGCTCTGCCCGGGAATGCACTCAAGCCTGGGGGCCCTACCTGGCCGGGCTTGCAGACCCCCAGGCAAGCAGGCCAGCCCTGACGCCCTCACCCGACGGAGAAACCAAGTTCAGAGAGGAGCCCAGTCGGCCTAGACCTCTGGGTGTGTGGGCTAGATCCTGGGGCATCGCCCACCCAGGGGTGGGAGCAGCTGCCCCAGGAGCACCGGCCCAGGCAGGCCCCTGGGCTGTAGGCCCTGGCCACCCCTCCTCCTCCCCGGCTTGCCTCCACAGTCTGGCACGGGCCGCCCGGGACGCCTCTCACCCTCACCTCGCCAACTCCCCCGAGATGAGCAGTGGGAGGAGGTTCGGATTGGAGGCTGTGACCTGGGGCCTGCCCAGGGTCCCCCGCCTCTGATCTCGGCCGCCTTGGCTGCTGCTAACACTTCTCCAGACTGCACTGGGCCGTCGGGAGCCATGACGGTTTAGCACAGAAACGCTCATGACTTCCCTGACGGCCTAGCAGAGCGAGTACCTCGTCCTCAAGGGTGGGAGTCTTCACGAGAATGAGTCGCTGGGCTCCCGAGCAGCCACGCCCACTGCCGCCTGTGTGCCGCAGGTCCCCGGCACCGCATCTGCCCTGGTGCGGGACTGGACCTGGCCCTCCGCCCGGCAGCAGGAGCCCCGGCCCCGGGCACAGGCCTTCCTGGCCGAGGTGAAGCAGATGCGAGCGCGGAGGAAGACGGCCAAGATGCTGATGGTGGTGCTGCTGGTCTTCGCGCTCTGCTACCTGCCCATCAGCGTCCTCAATGTCCTCAAAAGGTGACAGCACCCGAGGACGGTGGGCGGCCTCAGGGCGGAGGATAGTGCCCTCCCGCTGTGGTCTCCACCGAGGGCCCTCAGGAGGGCAGCTCTCGGAGCCTCGGTCTCATCTGTAAGAGATGACAACAGCGGCCTCCGGGGAACACAGCGGGCACCTCCCGTGGTCAGCTGGGCAGAGGCGTGGCTTTCCCCAGGGCCCAGAGCTGGGAACGGTGGGGTGGGGCACAGAGTCCCGCAAGGCAGGGGCCCGCACGCTGGGGGGGGGG